TCATAATGCAATAAAGATGTTACCTTAGCTCTTTAGGGAGAAGTCTCACATTTTTTATTCCATTATCTGAATGAATGGTGGCATTAATTCATTGACTTTAAACTCATAGCCAACAGCTTAAATCTCAAGAATGGACTAAGTTTATATAAAACATGTATTTCCTATACAATTCACATTACCACCTATTGTTGTTAGTAATTTTGGTACTTGCTTCATTTGTAGGATATTTTAGTTAGCAAAGTCACACAGAAAAAAATGTATATGATGTGATACTAAATTGATCATGAGACCTTTTCTTCATAGGATGAGAATGAAAGAAGAATATTGTCTTTTTCCCTTTGAACGTTGGAAAGAATGATGAGTCACTTTTTTTTTCTGCTCTGTGCATAACCTTCAATGACTCTGAAAATGTCCCAAATATTGACTTAGTCTTTTGACAAATTTACAAATATAAAATTCTTGATAATTAGTATTGATGATATATGAAATAAACATAAATTCATAATACATGTGTCTTTAAGTCTAGAGTTTGATTTCATTTACTTATTCACAATTTCTTTCCTTGGTTGGTAGAAATCTTGATCTAGTTATAAAAATAAAAATACCTATTAATTCAAATCCATTATAAGTAGAGTAATTTAGAATAGTTCAAGCATATGACTATAAGAAACAATTTTTCTACCCAGATTATAGTGCTCCTGATTTTTCTCCTTCAGTCTTCATCTCATCTCCAGAATGTCATACTGCCTCTCCGTAAAGACAACTCTTATTTCCTCTTAATCCTTGAAACTATTCATGGGTTTTCAATCTCTATTGTTTTACTTTTTCAAGAATGTCTTATAAATGGAAAACTAAAACACAGTCCATGGGTCTGTATTCATCTACTTAGTGAAATTAAAATATGCTTGACTTAGGTTGATTGTTAAAGAGGAAGGATAATCTTTCTTTTGAGAAGGGAGGTCTGTGTTCTTTCAAATTCAAGTACATGAAGTTTTCACAATCCATAGAGATGCCTTTTGTTTAATTATCTATCCCATTCTGTCCTATTCAACAATTCACTATTCACATAGTAGAGGTGGTTTAAATTGTCAGCAATATTTAAGAAATATGTAATATAATGAACTAATAATGTTGGCAGTGTATCTTCACACTTAAGAAGAGTTAAAATTATTATACTGCATTTCCTTTTTTGACTCAGTATATATTTGTAAGCAACCAATCCAACAAAAAAACTTTGATTGCAGTATCAAGTTTATTCAACCTTGCCTTCAATGGTTATTTAAACCTCAACGTACTCTGTCCCTTGGTAATTTGACTATGTTCATACTCTGATGTGAATGTAAAACATGAGTGTTGCCTGCCAAGTAGAATCATTGGCAATTTGACACTAATTTAATTAATTGGTTGTTGTTTTTGTTTCCTGGATATACTTTTTATATGCACTAACAATGCAGAGAGTAAAATTCACACCACATAGTTAAATATAAAATTATATAACGTACAATAATTAATGATTTAAGGAAATATCAAAAGATTTAAAGACAAAAATAAATATAAAGTTTAGGATGACCTGCCTTAAATGACCTCAAATCCACTTTATTAGACTGAGCTCCATGAAGGATGCTCCAGGCAAAGTCCTGAGTTCAATTCTCACAGGCAAAAGAAAAAGAAAAAACACAGATGCTCTAGGATTTTGTTTACCTACTAGCCACAGAGATATCTAATTTGAGTTAGAATTCATGTCATCTAGGTACATATTTTAAATTTAGTGTTTCTAATCTCTACATTTAGACAAGTATATTAGAAGTATTTTGGGTGATAAAAATAAAGACATATATAAAATGCTTTAAATTTTATTCTTCAAAAGATAAATCTAATTTATATCAATTAACTTAATTTTCTATAATCCTATTTAGAAATTTTAAAAAACTGAGATGCTTCAGTTGTAATTACGGGACTATGGTATAAAGCACTTATGCCAAGACATTTCTCTCATTAACTATATTAAGCTGCATACGGTGGAATTATTTTTGAACAAATTTTACATGAATTTTTATGAAAATGTCATTAAATTAGAACTAGCCTTTTCTAAAATAATGAGTATGCATTTGAAAAGTAGTGTATTTGCAAGCAACTTTCTATTTTCATTCAAAAAATTCATTTAACCTCGGGCAAAATTACTTCTTCTAATTTTTATGTGAGAAAACTGAATCATTGAGAGTTTAACAACTTTGCAAAGATCATACAAAGTGTGCTTTTTAAATACATAGAGTGACTAGCTAGTACAAAAACTAGTACTCAGACTGAAAACCCTCCCATGAGGAAGCCAATAATGCATGAGTGAGTCAAAGCTTCACTTAACTCAAGTTAATCATAACACTGAGAACCACTATGAGATTTCATTATCATTTATTTGAAAACATTTCAACTTAAAAAAAATCAAAAGTTAATATCCATGGAAATCTGACCATAGAGAAGCAACTGGTAGCTTAATGAGTATAAAGGATAGAAATTTACTCTACATATAGCCATTGTGAAAATTCTGAGAAATAGATAGAAAAAGAAGAGAGAAGTTCAAATTTCTGAATAAATATTTTACATGATTGGCATAGTTTCAAATATAATATTTACAAAAAGACAACATTGGTTTTATAGCATTATTTTGCTTCACCTAGTAAATTGAATCAGTAAATTAGCTGTTTCATAGAAAGCATAAAATGTTATTGTATATGTTTTTACTACATATTTAATTTCTTATTTTTTCAATTATTCTTTTTGTAATCATGCTTCTCTTTTTCAAATATATCAATTTAATTATATTTACTGGAATTCCTTCCTGGATACTGCAGATGTTCTGACCAATCCCACCTTTTACATTGATAGTAATATTAGATATACATTTTTATAAAATTTAAAATCAAACTTTTTAAGTGTTTCCTTTATATTATTGAGTGGGGATGGTATTATGCTACAATCTCAAGTTCCTAGTACATGCACTTAAAACTCAATTGCCTTAAATGTATCGTTAGTATATTGTCAGCATGAACACCCATAAACATATAAGTTAGGTAGTACTTATATTTGGAAGATTATTATTTTGCTTATAGGAGCTGTTAATATCCACCTATAGATACCAGGTAAAGAAAAATAGTGTGTGCATAGTATTATTTATAAGAGGTTACTTTAGATTGTTATATAGTGTTCATTATATATTGTAATGTATTTCATGTTTGGACTTGTACTGGAAGATAAACCTATGTGTTTCCTGGATTTAAACTGGGAAATGTTCCTACAATTGCTTGATCTCTCCTTGAATTCTATCAGGGCACTTATAACCTTTTTCATGGCGTAGGTGTTGATGTAATATTTTTCAAATAGGCCTGGAAAAATAATAGATATGAAGTAGCTTGCAAGTCAAACGGATTAAATCAATTCATGATTCATGATACAGAATGGATCCAGAGCTACTCAGTGAAGATTTTTGTCACTATTTGGTGATAAAATAATCTTGTTTCCAGTAATTCTTTTTAATCAGCAAATAATGTGACTCTTTAGAGCATGTGAGGAAATTAAAATAATAAGAGTGACAACTAAATTGATAGCCAAAGTAGACAAGATTTATCACGTACTTATGATTTTAGGGCTAATATGAATCTACATTTAACAACTGATATGAGATTGATTTTAATTCTGTTAAACACAAGGCAGGACAACTGATGTTCTGTCATTGCCTATGATAACTTTATCTGTCCTATTTATCTCCATAATGATTTTAGACATTCAAGACAATAATTATACTTCTTCATCACTAAACCCCCAAATGCTGTCATAAAATAATTAAATATAACCTGAGTAAGTAAATCATATATTAGAAAGTCATTTAACAGTTCCAATATTTAATACAAACTTCTAGTAATGAATTATTACAAATCAAAACCAGTGTATGGTAACTTTTATGAGTCTGAGTTTCAATGTGTAAAAGAAATAGACTTTGAAGTCCACCTCATTTCTACATTTATAATCCCTAAAGTATTGTACTTTCCATCTTGATTCTTTCTGCTCTTTCATCTGTAAGATATAAGCAATGTAGAGGGCTTTATAGAAATAAATTTGTACATTATATGCATATGTACAGTATGTAAAATATCATCATGATACATATAATTTCTCTCCCTTACTAGAAAATCTCTGATCAGTCATGAAACCTCAGATTAAAAGTCAGTTATCCAGAAATAAACTCATGATTTTATCAAAAATTCATGAATTTTCTTGCTATGTTATAGGTTTTGTATTCTCTGCTTTTATATGCATAATTTTGGAGATACTCAATCTACCTTAAAAAACTCTGACAACTGGAGATTATTACACGTTGAAGTATCTCAACGTTTGGAGATACTTCAAAACGTTGAATGAATTGAGGGAGCTAGCATAGATACTTCAAAATTTGAATTAATTGAGTGAGCTAACATAGAAAAAATAATGAAAATAGATCTGAAATATAATAATCACTTAAAACTTTATTTTACATTTGATGTCTTCTTATTACTACTCAATGTTATAATTATTGTTTGTATATGTCTACAAAGAATGAGAATGCATTAGAAATTATATTGTTTTCAAATATTTAAGAGGATATTTATGTATGTTTCCCAATTCCAAATTTTAACATTCACTCTATTACTTAGTAAGTAAAACTTTCCAAAATCAATATTTGCTTTGATTTTCTTTTTATAAAGCTAAATGTCCTGTGCCTCATCCTAACTAAAATACTCTTTTTAAAAGTCTTTATATTTATAGTACATTTTCTTCTTCATCCAAATACTTTAAATAAAATATTGAAATAGAAATTATTAAGCAGTATTCAGCTTTCCAAAATTTATTAAGGATAATGAAGAAATGGAATGGGGGAGTGAATAACTGTATGAAGAAAATGTTGAGAATGTATTCATCATAAACAACATTTACAAGGACTTTATTTAGTTAATGCTAGTTAGACATTTTCATTTACCAGAGAAAAGTGCAACCTTTTGAATGGTATCCTTAAGAGCTTGTTTTACTTGTTGGTTCCTCAGGGTGTATATAAATGGATTCATCATTGGAGCAACTGAAGTATTAAGGATAGCTACACCTTTGGTCAAAGATGCTTTTTCTTTTGCAGAGGGATTAGCATACATGAATATACAGCTTCCATATGAAATAGAAATGACAATCATGTGAGAGGAGCATGTAGAAAATGCCTTTTTTCTTTGACTGGCAGAAGGGAGTTTCAAAATTGATCTAACAATGAACATGTAGGATAGAATTATTAATGCCAAAGTGAAAAGCAGAATCACTATAGCAGAGTAAAAGCCAATCACTTCCAGAAGCCATGTGTCTGAACAGGATAATTGCAATAAGGGAAAATAGTCACAGGCAAAGTGATCAATGACATTGGAGCCACAGTAATCTAAGTGGAGAAAAAGAATAACTGGTGGAAAGATGTTTAGGAATCCTGCCAGCCAAGCACAAAAAACAAGCAATATGCAAGCTTTCTTGTTCATGATTGTTGTATAATGCAGAGGTTTGCATATGGCTACATAGCGATCATAGGACATAGCAGTCAGAAGGTAAAATTCAGTGATGCCCATGAAAATGAAGAAAAACAACTGTGCTGTGCAACTATTGTAGGAAATAGTTTTGTCTCTGGTAACAATTGCGCTTAGAAATCTAGGAATACTCACAGTTGTAAATGTTATTTCTAATACAGAGAAGTTCCTGAGGAAGAAATACATAGGTGTTTGCAGATGGGAGTCCACTAAAGTGAGAGTGATGATGGTCACATTTCCAGCAATGCTTAATATGTATGTGATAATTAAAAAGAGAAAAATCATGATCTGAAGTTCTGGGTCATCTGACAGCCCTAGTAGAATGAATTCTAAGGGTGCTGTATGGTTTTTCATTGCCGATCCTTTTTCTCTGGTTTAAGATATAAAATGTCTCTTCACTCTATAACATAAAAAATGAGAATGAAGTTAAGGATAGGATATAATATACTTAAGATATTTTAAAAAGTCAATTACCTATAAAATTAAATTAAAACACATGCTCTTCATCTAACCTTCTTAGATTTCCATTTTTTGCAACAAATACTACCAGAATTTAAACACTGTTCTCTCTTCATTGGCATCATGGTATTATAAGCTAGAGACACAACATTCTGGTGCTGACATATAAACACAGCCCATTTCTTCCAGTGTCTTTTTAAAATCAAGTATCTAATTATTTGTAAAAAATTCAGAATCTAATTAAAATGTGAAAATATCATGATTGTGTTTTATTCCTTTATTCAATATTATAAATGGTAATAAGAATATAGCACAGCCTAAATACCAAATTGGAAAGCTTACAGAGTTTATTCCATCTTAGTATTTTATATTGTCAAAAACTCAGTGCCAGTTATTTTAGGAAACTGTCATATTTTAAATATTTAAATAACTATCTAATAAAGTAACTAACTAACAAATATTTAAATAACTGTCATATTTTAAATAATTATTATTTTAAATAATAATTAGCTATCACAATAGTCATCTCAATTTAGGAGCTTCATGCTTATTCATGGAAATATTGCACTTTCATTCTCTCTTAAATTTCCTACATGAGTGTTTGGTTAATGCTCTAATCCTCCTAACTTCATAAATTTTCTCCACTTTTCTACTAAAAAGCACAGAAAAAAAGAAATAAAACATTTTTGGTTAAAATCAGTGGCTACCTACAAATATTTAAATTCATGAAATACAAATTCATTTCTTTGAAACAGTGCTACAGTACATAATCCAGAAGAAGGTAAAGATAACGTGTACTTGGAAGCAGATATTCCTTCTTATAAATAATTTGTTATAATAGTCTTAACTTCTATCAAAGTATAACATTTAAATTTAATAAGAAACGGAAAAATTTTAAGACTTATTACTGTATTGTGGCCTTGGATTTTACTAATACTTTTAGTAATAAAACGTTAACTATTTTTCAATAATCAGAGTGGAAAATCCATAGCATATATACAAATAATATTGTAAAGGGCTTAAATAAATGAAATAGGCATTATATTAAAGAATAATAAACTACTTACTTTTTAGTGATCAACTCTGGAATCCTGCCATCTGGCTTTCTTAAATATTTAAATAATTTCACTGCTGGAAATTTGATTTTGTTTCACCAGTTTGCTTTTGTTTTGTACTCTGAAAACAAATGTGGCAATTGAGTATTTTTGCAGATATCTGGAAGTATGCTTCTTTCCTTAAAGACTAATAACATTTGACTCATAATATTCTTAATTGTTGTTACTGTAAAACAATTGGAAAATTTTATAATATATTTCTTGTTTGCTTTTCCTTTCTCACAGAAAGGAATATTTTGCATTTCTCTGTTTATGCAAACATAAAATCTAAGTAACTTTTTCCTTGTCATAATAACATGTTGCATTTTACTGCAAATGTTGATTTGAACCATAGAAATAAGAAAAATTTAATCTTCATGAATATTATATCAATGAACCTGGACTTACTTTATCTATGTCTTATTAACTCAAGGGAATTGATTAAATAAACAATGAGTACCAAAGAGAGCCATCATTAAGAGATACAGATAAATCATTGACATTGATATTTACAGGACAGTATATCCATTATTTTTGTAAATTAGGCAAATATATATGCGAATGATATGGATACATAATGTTTCACTTAGAATTTATTTCTTCCATGGTTAAATGAGTCCAGGTTTTTCTCCCAGAAATTTAGGATCAAAAATTTCTTCAGTAACTTTAACTTACTTATATATCCTGAATTTTGGTTATCCATGAAAATATATAACAATATACCAGATTATTTAATATACCACAATGAGGTGGTAAAAATGTATTTTTGGTTTTCCAATAAAATTTATACTGTCTTCTGAAATGGATAGCATTTGTTAAAATGAAGAATTTTATACCTTATTAATCCTTTACATTTCAGAAAGTTTTTTCTGTGCCCTATGTTAAATGTCATAATAGTATTTGCATTTATTGCCATTGACTGCTTTCATGTATCACATACTTTTAGAAATTTACTGCTAATAGCTGTTCATATGACATTGGAAGTATAGTTATAAACTAAACAAATGTTTGAAAATCTGGTCTTATGTAACTTCAGTACTTATAAATTTTATTACCAGAAAAAATTATTTTTTGGTACTGGGTATCAAAAATGACCACACACTTGCAAGACAAGCGCTTATCTTGCTGAGCTAAATCCCCAGCCCCAGAAAAAATAGTTTTCTTCTCAAAGTTTTATTATTTTTTATGAATATATGTCTGCCATATAAAATGATCACATTCTTCTTAAATAATTTGTACTTCTACATTATATGTCTTAATTTTTTTCTCATACACTTCTCTTCCCTTCCACAGTTCCCTCCTTATTTACACAACTTTTATTTCCATTTTTCTTTTTAATCACTCATTTTTAAAATCACTTTCCCTTACTCTCCTCCCCAACACCCCCTAATTTGTTTCCCTTTCCACCTCATCAGTTTCTTCCTACTTCCAACACATACTCTCTGTGTTCCTCCTTAGCATGCTTTAAGTTATTCACATGAAAGGAATAATGCAGAATTTAAACTCAAAGTAAAATAGCACTCCTGTACACAAATAGCAAACTAACTGAGAGAGAACTTAGGGAATGAACTTTCACAATATCATCCAAAGAAAATGAAATACTTAGTAATCCATGTAACGATGGAAGTAAAACATCTCTACATTGAAAACAACATTACTCAAAAAAGATGAGATCTAAAAGGATATCACAATATAGAAATATGTCCCTGGCTTTTGGTTGGGAAGAACCAACATAGTAAAGATAGCTATTCACCAAAAATTATTATGCAGATTTAATGCAATCCCAATTAAAATACCATTAGAATACCTCACAGAACGAGGGAAAATATTCCTAAAATTTTTTTGGAACCTAAAGAGACCTAGAATAGCAAAAATGATTCCAACCAACAAAAAGCAAAACAGGAGATGCAAAGAAGCATAGTTTAAGAATGATAGGCATTAATGAAAAAGCAGGGGTGAACACAAATGAAATTAAAAAGATATTCACAGAAGTAATAGAAGAAAACTTCCTAAACATGGGAAATGGAACTGGCATGCAGATAAATGAGGCATATAAGATTCCAATTAGCCATTACCAAAATAAATCAACACACAGCCATACAATAATCAAGATCCCAGAAATTCAGCACAAGAACAGAATATTAAAAGCTATTAGAGAAAAGAGATCGGATCACCTGTAAAGGGAAACCAATCAGAATCAGAGCAGACTTCTCAACACAAATCATCAGGTCAAGAAAAGTTTGAAGTGAAGTGTTTCAAACCCTGAAAGAAAACAATTTCCAACCCAGATTGATCTACCCAGCAAAACTATCTTTCAAAATTGATGGAAAAATAGGATACTTCCATGATAAAGTACAAGTGAAGGAATGTATGACTACCAAACCAATCCTAGAGAGAATGTTAAAGAGTATTCTAGAGACAAATAAAGATGACCATGGTTACAGGAACAACAGCAAAGGAGGATTGCCAAACAATACAGGCAATTGAATGAAGGATAAAAGTGGAGGGCCAACAATAGGAGGATAGCTGGGCAGAAACAACCCAATGTATGCTGGCTTTAACCATTAATGTAAATGGCCCCAGGTCAGTAATAAAAAGAAATACAAAGAGAGTGGATCAAGAAACAAGATCCAGTGATATACTGTATAAAAGAAACACATCTAAATGGAAAAGAAATTCATAGAATGAAAATCAAAGGAGAAAAAACAATTGTCCCATGTGATTGAAGACAAAAAAAAAAATGCAAGAGTAACTTGCCCATCAACCAGAATGGATAAGAGAGATATGATATTTTCATGCAGTGGAAAGCTACCCAGCTACAAAGTAGAATAATCTCAGGGCTCCTGTAGGTAAATGGATGCTACTGGAGATCATGTTCATGGCCAAAGTTTGACTTTGTATGCATGAAGCTTAGCATAAGAAACAGAAGTAGTTAATCAGATTCAAAAGCAAAATAGTTAATGTAGGAGCAAAGGTGAAGAAACATCTGGGAAGGTAAGGTGGAAACTACTGTCAGTTTCTTATTGTCTTGTCTTGAACTCTTGCACTGTTTACACAATTTTGTTAGGTTTGCTTTGTTCTGTCTTGTTTGTTTAGATTTTATGCTGTCAGATGGTAGAGGCAGCTATTTTGAAAGTAATAGGGAATTTTATGGTAATCATGGTTTCCTATTATATTGCTTTGAAATCTTATAAAGCTCTCATTCATTGGTTGGATTGGTTTTATTCTGTTTTGTTTTTATTATGTCTGATGGTATAAAAAGCTATTTTAAAGAAAACATTCAATGTAGGGCACAGAAAAACCTTTCTGAAATGTAAAGGATCAATAAAGAATAAAATTCTTCATTTTAAGAAATGCTATCCATTTCAGAAGACAGTATAAATTTTGCTGATTTACTATCATCTTGTTTTGAATTCCTACCATGCCTTTGTTCTTCTGTTTTGATTGGTTCTATCCCATTATGTTTTATTTGATTTTATTATGTGTGATGATATAAACAGATTTTTTGAGGAAAATGAGATATTATAATAGTCATTGTTCATTTCCTCTATATAGGTTTTGAAGTCTTGGTTTTATACTATTTTGTTATGTTTGATATTATTGTATGTGAAGGTATGCTCAACTATGTTGAAAAAAAGAGATTATGGCAGCTACTGTTGATGTCCAGTTGCCGTGAAGTGCTGTGTTGCTTGCACTGTTCTGTTCAGATTTTCTTTGTTCTGTTCTGTTTTGTTTTATTCTCTTTAAAATAAAATATTTTTTTTAAAATAATATTTAAAAAAGCAATACAAGAACATTGCGATCCCTGAC